CTATAAGACCCCCCCACCACCACCACCACCACCACCTTTTAAAGCCTGTTTTCAAAACGATGACACCTGCCATATAAGGGCACATTCCCATGCTTGGCTGCCATGGCAACGTCACCCCTTTAACAAGGCGAAATATAAAATGTGCTGCTGCACTGGATGATCAAACACTCGCGCTCCCGGGAGGCCGCACTCATAAACCACGTCTGCTTTCTCCGTGGAGGTTTGTTTTACTGCCGCCCCTCTCCTCATTAACACATCGGCAGAGGCGGAGCTCGCTCGCCGACCTCCACTTTTCCAACGGAGACTCAATAAACGGGTGCTTGTGGAGAAATTTACTATGATGCATTTGTCTCTAAAACGGATAAACGGTGAGCGTGTGACTCATAGTAAACCGGAGGATTTGATGGAGAGGATAAATGACATTGTCACTCCCAGTATGAGATGCGAGGCCTTCAGGGTTCTAACATGCAACATTTATAAGCCTCTTCTAAGAATCAATCTACAGGGCAGCACTTCCAATCAGCGGCACTGAGCCTCGGGCCGTGTTACTGTGCCTTTAATGCACCTGTGTGATGCGGGGGCTGTTTCAGTCCCACTGCTTGGGGACCAGACCCACAGTCTCTGCTCAGGAGCCCATAGGAGCACAGTGGACCCCGAGGCTGAGCTCTTATCACAAACACTGATGGTGCTCCTGTTACAAGCAGCTCATTTACTCCAGGAGCAGAGAAGGTCAGCCTCGCTCCGGACGAACAGGTTCCTGCAGGACGTCGTCCCACAGGGTCCGGCTGTCTTCACTCTGTCCATGTCTCGTCAGTGGGAGCAGTTTTAATTAAAGCGTCCTCACAGTAATGACAGCAGACTGGGAGACAAAACAAAATTACTTATTTACAGTCTTGTATAAAGTACCTTAAAGTAATACTTGAGTAAAAGTACAAGTATCTTATCATAAAATTACTTTGGTAAAAGTTAAAGTCTCCTCTAAGAATATTACTTGAGTAAAAGTCTTAAAATATCTGATTTATTTTGTACTTAAGTATCAAAAGTAAATTTCTGACATAAAATGTACTTAAGTAATAAATGTAAAAGTATTGAGTAAAAATGAGTGGCCAGATTTTCTAAATACATTTATTGAGAGGGGACCTGTTCAAAAAATATTTTTTTCTAAAGACATGATTAGTTATATCCAAACTAAATACAGTATCAGAATAATATATATTTATACTTCTCATTCAACCACAATTAAATTCACTCGATCCAGGAGGCACAGTTTATCAGGATAATATTTTTTAAACAATAACAAGCCGAAATGAAACAGGAGTAAACGACGTTCTACTTCTTAGCTTTTTAAAAATAATGTAAGGTGTAAAAAGTACAGATAATTGTGTAAAAATGTAATGAGTAAAAGTAAAAAGTATGCTGAAAAATAATTACTCAAGTAAGATACACATAACCAAAATTTCTACTTAAGTTCAGTAACAAAGTATTTGTACTTAGTTACATTACAACTCTGCTTATTTATATTTGTTTTAAATCTTATAGCTGTGATCAGTCACACCCGAATTTTTTTGTGTATTAATACTTGTAACTGACGGTAAATTATTTAAATAGAAATTTATATTATGTGGATTGTTTATAGATGCTTGTCAGTTTTGATGTACATTGTGTTGGTTGTTAAATGTTTTTGTTTTGATTTAATAATTGTATTTTCAATGAGTTTATTTTTGTGTGTACCTCATGGGATGCCATAGCTAAGATGGGCTGGCCTTATAAAAGCTGGCAGTAATTAGTTCTAACAATGAATGGCTGGAAAGCAACTGACAACAGGACTTGAAACGTTTGCTGTGTCAAAGAAACAATCTTATGCTTTGCGTTCCCCTGGTGAAAGCAGTGAGGTACGCTTTATTTCACTTGTTTAAGAGCCCATGTTCTTATTTTAATGTTTGTATACATGTTTGTTTTAGTTTTCACTGTGATTGTAATGGTGAGGATCCTGGTGATTTGGTCACCAGATGAAAATGAAAAAGCTTAAAATCACCCGTCGAGGCTGCACTGAGCTTTGTCAAGAACAGGGTGTCTGCTACAATACTGTTTTTATAGCTTAGTTTGAATATGACACTGAATGCCCGTCCTTCATAGAAGAGTCTGCTTTGTTGCGTTGTCCAAATTTTAGTTGTATTCTTTTTAGTAAAACAGCACCATTTGAAGCCATTTTCAGCTCATTTACATGTTAGTAAATATAAAATCTCTGAGGAGTGCATGTTGTGTAACAGACTGAGCTGGACCAACACTTTCAGCCTCTCATCATTTGTCCTTGGTTGCTGAGCAACACAAAGAAGACTGAAGCTGGAAAAAGCATCGATGAATCACAGCACCTGATTCCTTCCTTCATGCTGATGTAAAAACACATCTTTTTATTCTCACCTGTAACACAAAACTGTTTTTCCCCTGCTGTATCTGGTATTGATTCAGATTAATTATGATTGATGTTAGTAGTTGCAGTAACATTAGCAGCCAGCAGGGGGGGTCCAGGGGTGGGCTCTCATTGCACGCCTGCAGACCTTCAACATGCCACCAGCTTGACTCACATTCCTGGAGGTGTGAATTCTGGTTGCCCAGTAACCGGTTTTCCAGGGAGACCCGTCTCACCCATCAGTCATTTCTCCACGCAGAGACAGCTGAGGAACGATTCCTCGAGATTCTCACGTCGATTTCATCATCACCCACCGCCGAAAGGCTTTATTATACTTTAAAATAACAAAATCTGGATTTAAATGTTTAAAACAGTTTTAAATCACGCCTTTGTTTGGTTTGTGGTTAATTATGTAATTGCCTGTGTCTGTGTCTGAGTATGCTTAATTTGTGTGTCTGTTAGCAAAACATCTCATGAACCACTGGCTGTATTTAAACAGATATTGCACAAAACAATAACCGAATCTACATCTACAAATGGTCAACTTTTGGAGTGGTCTAATTCAAAATGGCTGCAACAACCAACTGACTTAGAAAAACATTAAAATGAGGTATAACTCAGTCAAGTTTTCAGAAGTTGATCTATAATTTGGTGAGGTAGTAGCTGAGACTGATGCCTAATACATATTCTGAGGGCTAACAGATTGTGTGGGATCTTTGTTTTAACTTTTGCAATTAACCATTTGGAGTCAACTCCTWTTGTCTGTTAGCAAAATATCCTACTAATCACTGCATGGATGTTAATGAAACTTTCAAAAAGTAACGGCTGGATGTTCTTGTACAACTGTTAACCTTTTGAAATCAGTCCAATTCAATACAGCCACTATAGCTAAATGATCTTAGTCAACACAAAGATGATTAAAATTCAGTCAGATTCATAAATATTGAGCTAAAGCTTGATGTGGTAGTAGCTAAGAGTCATTCACAACATAAAATGTGGTAATGCACGAGGATTGCACTATTTAACATTTTATCATAACGGCTACAACGCCGTCATTTCTCATTAAAAGTTAATTTTAGTCTGAACCATGAAAAGTGGTGAGAAATGTGCATTCCTCTAAGGAATAATTGAAGGTCTGGATGAGGGGAGAGTTTTTTTCTCAAGTAATAGTTTTGTGATCAGATCATACAGGAAAGAGTGAGTTTATTTCTCCACACGGCCAGTGAAACACAACTGGAAGAAAGTTGACATTGTCAGAATACCATCACCTCTGAAAGAGAAGCTCACAACTACAGTTCTCTCCAGACATAAAAAAACTTTTTTTTTACTAAAGTATGTGTGTTTTAAAGGAAAACCTCTAAAATGCACAGATTTTCACCACTTTTACCTAAACTGTGTCTAAGTTCCAGCAAACCTGGAAACAGCTCGATGTTCTTTCAGCTGCTCCCGTCTTCAGAGGATGGTACAGAAAGCTAACTTGTATAAAATAATTCAACAACTGATTTTTTTAACACAACCTGGCCTCAGACCTGCAGTCTTGGAATTACAAAACCAGAGCCTCAAAACAGCTCAGAGAACAAAAAGAAATCTACTTTTAAAACAGTAAAAATATTCAGGAAGTCTTGGGGAATCCCAGAAAGCCAGGAACCACTGCCGGATGCACATGACCTTCGAACCCTCAGGCACCAGAGACCATATCATGGTTTTCAGAATTTACTTTGACTCCGCACAGTCTGCCACTGCGTGCAGAAATGTAATCTAAACTTTGTTATACAGGTTGAAAGCTGCTGATCAACTTTGTGCAGAAACGTGGCATCGCTCTACATTTCAGATGGACCTTAGCACGCAGGGGGAGTCAGCTGAGTTCATGTTCCAGCTGGTTTTGGGAGGAACGTCAAGTTTTGAGACGAGAAATATTTAGTAAAAAGGACCAAAAGCAAGAGTCTGTGATGATACAGGGGAGCATTGTTATATACATATGTGAAGTGTATTTACATATAAATTGCTACTAACACTGGCTCATACTGTTTTTATCAGGAGGTCTGTGGTTGTTTCAGCAACACACCATCATTCTGCATTATTTACAACAGCAAGACTTCACAGACTGAGGGTGACCTTTGACCTGCACGAAGAGGAGAATCACAACAAGGACTTTGGAATCTGGAGTTTGAAAAAAATGGGCACAAAATCCTCCTACAAAGCTGAAACAATAAGATTCTACCTGATAAACAAAGTAAAAATTAAAAACTGCAGCCCTCCACCTCACCTAGCCTCACAGTGTCGGTGAGGCAAGAACAAGAGAGCGCAGAGGGTAGAGAAGCCGAGTCAGAAGGTCGCCGGCTCGACTCCCCGCAGACCAACCAGCCCCACCTTGGGCCCTTGAGCAAGGCCCCCAACCCCCCAGCTGCTCCCCGGGCGCTGTAATTGGCAGCCCACTGCTCCACATGTGTGCTCACATGTGCGATGGGTAAAATGCAGAGACTTAATTTCCCCACCAGGGGATCAATATAGTGTAAAAAAAATACAGAAGTAATGAGATGTTTTAAAGACTCACAGCTTTATAAAACTGTAATTAAATATTTTTGCTGTGAAATATAAAAAGTTTCACACTCACTCGTATAAAGAGCATCTTCTCCCCGACTCGGTATCGACCCTGCGACTGTCTCTCCACGCAGAACTTAGTAGTACACCTGCAGGGAGGATCATCGGCAATGTGTCGTACCTGTAACACACACACACACACACACACACACACACACACACACACACACACACACACACAC